TTACTCAACCTCCCTTAGAGTTTGTTTGGCGCAGCTGCAGCTTCTGCCTAATTCATATGTTTTTTCTCCCTATCCCTCCTTTTGTTATTCGTCGGAATCATTTTACCCAAGGAGTCGTTCCCTTTGCTTGACTACTTCCTTATTTGTAGCATGACCAGAGGAAAATATGTTGAGATTTTCATACATATTTTAGACTGTCTTTGATGATATTACACTTTAAAGAAATGTATTTTTGATGTTTTGTTGCATGAATGATGAATTAGGGTCATGGGAGCAAAAATATGCAAAAAGGAGCGAATTTGGAGCGAAAAAGACAAAAAATGTGAAGAATTGAACTAGGGCGCCGACGGCACCATCGACCCCTCCGACGGCGAGATTTTCCCGAGACTCCAGAATTAATTCATTAAGAAGGTAATCAGACTGTGGATAATGACAAATTTTAAATGAATGCTTAGGCAATTCTTGGGAAAACTTATCCACAACTTTAAAAGAAGATTTTGGCCGAAAATTAGAGAGTTCCTGGACGTTAGAAAGGCCCGAGAGGATGATAGGCTCCAAATTGAAGTGTGAAAAAGTGTAGAGAGTCTAAATTGTGAGGAATTCTTCGAGATATTGTAAGAGTGGAGGGAAAGTGAGAGATTTCTTCCTCCTTGCTGCTTCGAAGAGGAATTCTGTGTGCTGTAAAGAAATGAATAGATTCAGAGGAACTTCGAGGAGTTTTCTTAGGGAGAAATTAGAGATAAGTTTATTTATTGTTGTAGTTTGTATGACTTTGATTTTATATATGAATTCCGAGTTTTGTTGTGTTCCCTATGAGATTTGAGTAGTTTTCTCTGTCTTTCTCCTTGTTTCAAGATTTGTGAAATGATGATTTGAATTGGTGAAGCCATTAAAATGTTTAAGAAATTGTGATGATCTTTTCACTTCGATCTTAATTTACTTTTAATCTGGCCAATTGATTTGTTAAAATATGTTGAGTTTTACAATTAAAGTGAGGATTTACAATTATTACTTGTGTTGATAAGTGTGACTTTACAATTTTTGAATATTTATTACGTCCTAATAGGGAAATAATATTATGGGAAATAATATTATCGGGCGTAGAATTGGAGATTTAAGAGTGACAGACTAAAATCCCAAATTCAGTCCTATCATTTGGGTACTGAAGTGTATATTTATTACATCCATATTTATTGAATCTATAACTGTTATTGAGTTTTGGTACAGTTGCTGAGTAATTAAATTTTTTAGCAGCAGTATTAAATACTTATATTTTAAAGCATATATAAAGTCGCAGTCATAGCACCTACTTGATTTCAAACAACACCTTCAATGCACTAAATAAATTTAGCCTTAAAGTAAATGCAAGATAGAATAAGCTTATAGAATCCTATTGCTTGCCAACAAATATATTCAGAAATGTTCCAGGAATAGTTTAATGACTTGATATGGGCTTGGTTTGACTCAGACTGAACTAACTTTGATATCATTGTGTCTGTCTCATCAAGTCTGTCGGTTTGATTATAAGTTTACTGAAATTGAGAGCTCTGGACGACTTATAAAAATTTGTTGGGGCGTATCAATATGTATGTTCTAATTATTTATTTAATGATAAAAAAACCAATATTTACTTTTAAAATAATATCCATAATAGCCTCATTGCAATTACCTTATTTAGTTGAGCTTCTAGATGACACTAGTCCACGGAGGAAACCCGGCCGCCAAAATTCACTACATGGTCCTTCATTTGATCGGGAAGGTTTTTATATGAATTTTTATTTAATTTTAATAGTCCAATTGAGCAATACCTTTTATCTTTTATCTAATTTCTTAAAATTTTTACAATAATATAAAACTTCTTATTATAAATATAATAGAGCGTGATTGTTGTATATATAAATTACTAATTCATTTCACTTTGAAAATTAAAATAATAATAATTATTATGTATTAGATTAGCAGCGACAAAGTGAAATTTTAAGATTCGTTATTGCACAAAAAATTGAATTTGTCTTTTGTGAATATACCTCAAGAGTTAAGAGTCGAGTGAAAAAGAGAATAAAGTGAATAAATAGTTACTGTAAATGGAACCAAGAGAGTCACAATGACCTATCTCCTTTTGGAATTTTTATTCGGTACGTGCACCGCATGAACCCCTACATGCGGTACCGAATAAAAATTCGCCATGTGGAATGCGATTCCACGTGGCTTTATAGCTTAAAAATAAGCGTTTTTTATGCCCGACGGCCCGAATCCTGCCTAAAAAAAAATAACGCTTTTTTGTCATTTTCGATTCCCCTAATGCATAAGGCTCTTTCCCGGTTATACCCATATTTAGTTTCGCACTTTAGGGTTTGGAGCTGCCGAAAAGGACTGCTCTGCCTTGGACTTGATCATCTCTAGGTAAGAGCTTCACTCCAAGCTAAAAATATTTGACTTTCACCATGGATTTCTTCCACATTGAGGAGATCCGAAAAATTTGAGAATGTGAAAAAATT